GGTACCAGGGATCTAACTCGGGTCCTTGTGCTTGTGAGGCAGGTGGCAGCACTGAGCTAAATGCCTGGCCCACCACAATGCAGTTCTTGAACACTAGTGCTATGTGTTGACACTTGCATTCTCTAAAGACCCTATTACAGTGCCCACCATGTGTAAGAAGTGAAAATAACAAATAAGACTGTCTCTTTACCACTAACATTCTGAGTTTCACTTTTAAATATGTAGGTGGATTATTTTTCTTCCACAGGATCTGTGCTCTTTTGAATTTAAGGAGTTGAGGTTCCAACAATTCTGAAAAATTCTCAGCCATGATTCTTCCATTCTATTTTTTATTAATAAGATACATGTAATCTTCATGTTCCATCATCCACATTTCTGAACTCCCATATTTCAATCTCATTTGCTCTCTGCTATATTCTAAGCTTCAGCAGATCAACCTCTAATGTTGTTTTGTGTGATTCCAAACTCATCTAACTGGTCTTGGGAATTTTAATGATTTGTTTGGATTATTCAACATTTAACTATAGCTTCCTTGTAGCACCATACTCTTAGGGTTTTGAATTCTTTTAAATATTATTATGTTAGAACCTCTTTCAGATCACATAAAGTTATAACCCTGCTACCATATGTCTGCTAACTGAACCTGTACATGGTTTCTTTTCATAATTTATAATCCTAGATCTGCACTCATGTACAAAAATCTTTACCTACAGGAATCCTGTGAATGAGTACTTAGTGCATATCCCTCCAATTTGCTTATGCTATGTACTATGGGACTAAAAATTCCCAGACCTTCTTTTTATGTTACTTTCTTGCCTTGAAAGGGTTAAAAACTGGTTATATAAATTGTATAACCATGTGACTGGCTGATCCATAAACAGAATTTAAAGGGAGCCACAATCTATTTCTAATGTGCTTCCTTTACATTTCAGTGCTTTGATAGGTAATTTATTTTCAATTTGCCTGTGTGCTGAGAGAGCAATCCTTTGAGAGTCCTGACATACTGTGAGTGATAATCTGACACAAGGCATTTTTTTTTTTTTTGGTACAGGAAATTGAACTCGGGTCCTTACACTTACAAGGCAGGCCACTGAAACACTGAGCTAAATCCCCGGCCCACAAGGCCTTTCTTCTTGTCCAAAGAAGGTGTTAAAATCCAAGACCTGTTTAGGGACCAATAACAACTGGAAAGCCATGCCTTTTATCTCTCTTTTCTAATAGTTCTGACTTTGATTTTTTTGATTCCTTGGGATTTCTTCTGCTTTCTTACAAGATAAGCCATGTATTTTAAAGAATATTTATTAAATCTGTCACCAAAGATAGGCATAAGAAATGCTGCACAGAAAAAAAAAAAATCTCTGTATTCTAGCAACTATAGCTTTGTCATATAGTAAATGAGTAAACATAAAACAAATAATTAGATTTTTCAGTCTTAACCTTCTTCAACAGGAATACTACCTATAGTTTCTTTTCCTTTTTTTTTTAAACCTATAATTTCTTAACAAGACTGTCATGAGGAACAAATGAGGTAATACAAATCTTGCAATAAGAACCCTTGGTCTACACAGAGCAAAGTAAATTTTGGTGGGAATTTTAAACAACACAATGAAAAACACATATATTTAATCTTTACAAATCTGTCTGAACTTCCCAAACAAACCAATAGAGGAATATTCCAGATTACTTACCTATCTGGATTGATCAGAGATCGAATAGTAATAGCAGCCTTTAACCGCTGTTTGACATCTAGGTAACTAGAAGGCTCATCAAACATGAAACTATGAAAAAAAAAAAAGCAAATATAATTTTGAAAGATAAATATGACGTAACTTACATTTTAAAGCAGTACAACGACAATTATCTGATTTTAACAATAAAAATGTCATATACTAACAAAGACATTTTATCTATAATGGTAAAATTTTCTGTATTTTGTTTAGGAATAAAGAAGAAAACAGTATGAAAAACAGACCTGTATACCAAGTTTGGGGTAGAGCTCCTCACGTGGTATGTTTTACCCTAACCTAGAGTGGTCTAATAAATCTTATTTCACTTGAGATATTTAAAAAGCTTGCTGGTCTGATTGCAGAGCTTAAGTCTTTATTTATTCTTTTGTTTTTTGAGACAGGGTCTTGCTATGGCTAGTTCTGAACTCACTATGTAGCCCAGGCTGGCCTTCAACTTGTGGCAATCCTCCTGCTTCAGCTTTCCCAAGTGCTAGGACTACAGGCCTGTGCCACCACACCCAGCATGGTGAGCTTAATTCTTAAAACTTGGAATCTAAAATTCTTGTTACTTATCAAAATAAGTGATAGTTTGTTCCCCCTGCAAGAATAAAAGGAAATGGGTAGTGCATGTGCAATTTCTTTAACATCTCACCTCAAGATTAGAGACTTAGTTATGAGTTCTTTTAATTTCATACGAAGCCCTTGCTTTACTAGTACCATTACAAATAAAAATGAGAAAATAAGGTTAAAGATATATAAAAATTATAAAGTAACCTACATATCAGCTTTCTGTATGCAAACGACAGCACAAGCAAATCTCTGCAACTCTCCTCCTGAAAGATCTTCAACATTTCGTTCCTTTAGGTGGGTTAAATCTACAAAGAACATAGTGGCATTGTGTTCAATGTCATAAATTTCACTTTACCTCTTTTGGGCAAAACTGCATGTTATTATTCTGGGTTTGAATGACATTTCAGCAAAAACTGTAACATAAATGTAACAACAACATGATTTTCCTACTTATTTCAATAATCCATATAAAGATGTATATACCTTTATGACTTTAAATTTAGGGTCTATTAAAACTCTTGCAAAACAGATACTCACCAAGCTGTTGACATACAATTGCTTGTGTCTTTGTTTCATCTTTTCGATCCAAAATAGACCCCACTGTCCCCTGTCATAATACACAGAAAGTTACTACTATTTGCATTTAATAAGAGAATCACAAAGTAAAATGTCTACTTTAATATAATTTTTATACCATACCAAAAGCCAAAATATATAAACTTTCCCTAAAAAGCAACTGACCTTTGCAGCCTTGGGAATCTGGTCCACATACTGAGGTTTGATAATGGCTTTTAGATCATCTTCCAGAATCTTAGTAAAGTAATTTTGTAATTCAGACCCACGGAAATAAGTCAGAATCTCCTGCCAGTCAGGGGGATCCTAGAAATACACACATAACTAACTGAATATAAGCTTGTAATAGAATTTCAAAGAGGACGAATGTTAATACAAATTAGGACATATATCCAAATACAATACTTCTGGCTTCTAGCTTTTAAGGTTGGAGGTGAATTAATTTCCAGTCAAAGCACATCAACTCACCACAGTTTAAGGAAATTAAGAATTTTCAGTTAGGTAGCACTAACATATAAATAGTTTTTTAGCATTAAAGCCACAAATAAACCAGAAAATAATGTGAAAAAAATCACATGCATATACCTCCCTTCAAAATCCCTAAAAATGTCCAAAGATAATAATTTTTAGAAGGTAATACATACATCATACTTTCCAAGGTTTGGCTTTTGTTTTCCTGCTAAAATTTTTAATGCTGTTGATTTTCCAATACCATTAGTTCCAACTAATCCCAACACTTCACCTGGACGAGGGATAGGCAACCTGTTACAATATACAAAAGGAACACGGAAAACAAAAATAAATAAGATTTAGAAAAAGCTATGTAACATCAGAACAGTATTTTAATGCACTTGCACTTCACACACATCCATTAATAAGCTAAGAAATATATGCCAGATATTATTGGCTATTAGGGGGGAAAAAAAAAACAGCCAACACTATCTTAAACTGTTAAGTGTTAGAAATGCACCCTTGAATAATTACTTCAAAAGTCCATTCTAAAGTAACATTTTTTTTTAAAACATAAAAGGCTCAATTTTAATGTATAATAAACTGTTCTGGCACAAAATTACATAGCAGGTGCAACCTCACACCATCATTTTTCTCTTTGCCTGCCATTTACTTACAAGGAGAGAAGTGCCACATCAACCAGAAATATTCCACTTCATTCTCCCTGCTGCAGTTGGCCCCTTAAAGCTGGCAGGTTGAGAAATATCTTTTTATTAGTAAAATCTAAAGTCCCAGATTAAAAATATTTATGTTCAGCAAATAAAAACTTCAATGAACTAAGGACGTTGTGATTTCGTACGTCTAAGTTCAGAGTGATAGTCTCTGTAGGTAAGATTAATGGATAAACAAAATCAAAGCCAAGTTCCCTCAAGTTATTTTGGAGATAAGGGTCCTATGAACAGTAACGATTCCCAATCCCAATTATGTATTAGAATCTCCTGGGGCTTTTTGTGGTTCAGTTCTTAAACCAGAGATTATGATATAATTCAAGTGGGCTAAACCCTGGGCAGTAGCAGTTATTTAAGTCTTCCAGCACTTAATTCTAATATTAACCAGAATGAACCACTGACATTTACAATATGATTCTACATTATGTTATAGCATTTTATTTCCCCTTGGTGGGCAGTTGTTAACATTAATTTTTGCATTTCTCTAAAAATTCTAAGTGTATTTACAATGAACTTCACTATAAAGTAAAGAATGTTGCTTTGAAAATATACCTGTGAAGTTTGAAGGCATTGGCACAATATCGATGTGTTGTTTCTTTTTCCAAGTTGCTTGGTAAATTGACAATTGATAAGGCGCCAAAGGGGCATTTCTGTTATTTAGAGTAAAAAGTTGATTTTGCATTAATTTGTTGAAATATATGTATATACGACTAAAATGAATTGAAAATACTTTCATACTCAATCTTTAAAACAAAGGAGTTACACAAAGATGCAAAATATTGTTTCATCTGTGTTCTTACAAGTTTCTTGGGTAAGGGAAAGGAAAGAAGGGAAAAGAAAAAATATGAGAAAAGGAAAAAATGGAAACAGAATCTTTGTAAATAGAGAAGGGTAGAGGGGTGAAAGGAGGGCAGGGGAATAGGACAAAAGAACCAAGATACATCATGTGTAGGTACAAGATCCCAATGATGAATGTAATTGTACTGTATACCTAAAAACTATCAATAAACTTAATGGAAAAAAAAAATAAAGTTTCCTGAAGGCCAAAATTGTACTGAGTAGTCAAGTATATTCCTTTGTGATTGACATAATCTTGACAGTTAGTATGTCTGTAATACTTTCCATATTTTGTCTATAACAGATGCTTTCCCTTTACTTCCTTCAATTATTCCTGTCCTTGTATACTTCCCTTTCTGCTTTAAAGTCCTTTAAGGCCATGGATTGTATCTTTTTTGTTTGTTTGATTTTCTGTGGTATTGATGATCAAACTCAGGACCTTGTGCTTGCAAGACAGGTGCAGCACCACAGCTAAATCCTCAGTCCAATTATATCTTTTTTGGGGGGAGGGGGTGCTATTTCCAACCCACCAAGAGATACCATATTAATACAGACCAAGAATTAATGACCTTCTGTTGTGACTTTTATCCATCCCATGTGAAAAAGATGCTTCAATTCCAAGTAAATTAATATTTTAAAAAGAGAACATTCATAGAAAAATTTAGAAATGATAGAGGCACATCAAAAAATGCTGTAAAGACTTCTCTCCTCAGTCTGAATAAAAGCCAACATCTCTAGGGTATGCCAGATTTTTAAAAAATATTCAGCATTTTCAGATTTTATGTTTGGGTTATAAATCTAATGCAATAAATAAAATATTATCACCTACCTTAATACAAATACCACAACCAATACAGAGAGTTTCAGAAATCCATGCTATTTTGCTCTGGGGTGTAACTTCTATGCATAATTTTCCTGGTAAAGAAAAACACACTTAGGTCATTTTTTCTAATATAGAATTTTTCTGAACATTGTTATTTAGGGAATGCTGGTTCTAAATTTCCGCACAGAAGCAGACTTTCTTTCTTCTTTCTTTTTCTTTTTGGTACTGGGGATCGAACTTGGGTCCTTGTGCTTGCAAGGAAGGCGCCGGAACCACTGAGCTAAATCCTCAGCTCCAGAAGCAGTCTTTCAAAAACAAAGGCCACATAAATAAATACATTTGAGATAAAGTCCTGTATCACTGCTTTTTGGGGGTAGATTTCTGAATTAAATTTCAGTTTATAAGAATGTAAATACTCTTTTCAAGCAACAGGAAATGACCCAAATATATTTTAACTTATTACCAGGGAAGAAAATATTCTAGTAAAAACATAGTAGATCTTGAAATACTTTCATTTTAAGCTGACTCTCCTGAATTTAAAAAAAAAAAATTTTTTTTTGCCAGGATTAAATTTAGGGCTTGCCATATGCTAACTGAATCTTTAATTTAATTTATAATACAAAATATGTTCACTAGATCAGAAAAACTAATGAAGTATGCAGTCATTTAACAGGTAAATTAAACAGTACAACAGTAGGGAAATCAATGATAGAATTTCTGAATAATATGGGAGAAAACAACAGAGGACATCTAAAATTTCTTTTAAGGTTCAGTTATTATCTATACTTCATTAGTAGAAGCCATCAATCATATAACATTGCCTTTATTTATTTATTTATTTTTTTTTGAGACAGGGTCTCACTGTGTAGTGAGAGTGACCTGGAACTCACTATGTAGCTCAGGCTGGTCTTGAACTCACAGCGATCTTCCTGCCTCAGCCTCCCGAGTGCTGGGATTACAGGCCTGCGCCACCACGCCCGGCTAACATAGCCTTTAAAGACTACCAACATTTGTCAGCTCTGAATTGTTATAAGTTTGTTTCACTTTGAAAATATATAATAAAACCTCACGAATAAACATTTCTATTAAGCTCTATATTCTGATTTTTCTTAACGAGCACTAACTGTATATTTATTAACTATTAGAATAAACAAAAATATTTTAAAAATTTTTATTAGCACATATTTGCAGTCCATGTTGATATCCCATGTGTGGAGTTGGTACAGGTACATAACACGTCTTCATTCCTTCTTCCATCTCCTCCCTGCTGCTTCATCTCTTGATCCCTTTCATAGATGAGAAAAATCTAGCTCCTTGCTTCCTAACATCTATCTTTTATTTTGCTCTTTATTTATAATCCGTGTTTCTAAGAAAAGCCATGGGATATTCAAACTTGTAAGTCTGATTTACATCATTTAACATGACAGTCTCAAGCTGTATTTTACTTTCCTACAAATTACTCAAGTTTATTGTTTTTTTATGTCACAGTAACTCCACTGTGTATAAATACTACATTAAAAAAAAAGATAAGATATTGTCAATTATAAAATTTTTGGCAATTGGTCCCCAATTACGTAAAAGTAATTAACATATTTTGGTAGAATAGCCAGTTGCAGTGACTTCTAGTATGATACCACATTTAGAAAACTTTAAAAATATTCATATTCTACAATTTGTTGTTTTAAACACAGAATCATTTAGTCACAAAGCAATAAAAGAAATTAAGAGCAAGCTCCAAATTTCTCTTCCTAATGACTTAAGGAAACCGATGAGAGGCCAGGGATTTAGTTCAGTGGTTCCGTCGCCTGCCTGGCAAGCACAAGGACCCAAGTCTGATCCCCAGTACCAAAAACAACAACAATAACAACAAAAAAAACAAGAAACCAATGATATTAAAATAAAATACATGTTAAAGCACACATGAAACTATCAAACAAGTTTAAATTTCTTTCAAAATTTATTTTTATAATTAAATAAACCACAGAGCAACTCACCCATTCGAACCACAGGGCAACTTTTTTTGCACTCCTGTCGACATTTCTTAGGTTTACATTTGTCATGGTTGACAATGGCAATTCTTGTCAATTTGTCTGCCATAACTGCAAAAAAGTAAAAATACCCAGCTGTTTTATTAAAGAAAAGTTCACAAAATTATAGCAAGCTCATAGTGACTAGTTAAGAGAAAAACTCATGAGCATAATAGGAGACCACAAATATAATTAATAGGAAAACAAATGAGAAATAAATAAAATAGTACAAACAATAAAATAGTAAGGTTTCCAAAAGAAAACTGTATACATATACTTTTAATCAGAAGATTTATATAAGAAAAAAATGCCACTTATAATATACAAGAAAACGTCTGGGAATATACTTAATACATGTGAATGAAAAAACTTTCAAAACCACTATATAACATAACAGGCCTAAGAAATAAAATGAAATTGTCTCAGCTTTTACAGCAAAAAATTAATACCAGAGATTTAAACTTTCCTGAATTAATACAATTTTTCCAATCCCATGAGAAAAATAATAAACCAAACATAGTAAACTTACGAAAAGTGAATAGCCAGGAAAATAGAAAAAGAGCAAGCATGGGAGAATAGATTAAACTGACAGATTAAACAAATTATATAAAACTTCAGTAATTAACACTGATACCAATATGAATGTGGTCTATTAAGATAGAAAGACCAGATATGATAATATATCTGATAAAGATGTTTGCTCTTCCCCCACCCTAAGCATTATTATACCGTATCTTAAACAGCATAGTGACTTTATCTAAAAAAGGCATATACTTATTAAGGCTGTGACCATGTGACCATCATACTGGTCAAATAGAAAAGTAAAAAACTAAAAAGTACAATTTCCTGGGAACTTGTGATATGGCCAGATAGACTTTATGCTAATAGCAATGAAATTCAAGCAAGATCAAGCAACTATATTTACACTGTGCTAGCTTCTAAAGCTTTGAGAAATCTTCATGTGTAACAGCTATATAGCATTAAGGTCCAAATGAAGTCAAAAATCTTTTACAATATTACATTTAGGGGACAGTAAGGTCAATAAACCCAAGAAGTACCTTATAGTCTATTCTATTATGTAACAAAGGAACCTGGGACCAAAAGACTATTTACAAAGATATTCTGTTGGCTTTTTCTGTGATCCTCAACCTTGATGTGTTTTGTTTGGCAAGACTGCTCCCCCTTGTAGACCTCTCATGTCTTTTTCATGTCCACCAATATGATTAGGCTTGGAGGAGGAAATCTTGCTCTTCAGTGCTGTCCTAGAGTATTTTCTCTCCCTTCTTCCTGAACCTTCCAACTGTTTTAGTCATTTATAGGCCAGCAGAACACTTTCTTTCATTCTTTGAAGCTGTTAACAGCTTGTCCACCTAGTTTCTTAAATCTTTTCTTCCAGTATGTCTTCAACTTTACCACAGCAACTTTGGTCAAACTCGAGACCTTCTTATTACTAGTAACGGCAACCCTTTCACAAACTTAATTTTGAATACCCTATCTTCTGGCCATTTTTCCTATCTTTTCAGCTCAGACACCTAGACCATAACAATCCACTGACTCTCGCTCACCTTACTGTTCTACATTCTGTCCTGTAGCCCTTGATATTTTCATTTCCCTAGTTATATAGCTAAAATCCCAGTTAACCATCTGTACCCTCAACCTTGATTAAGTCAATTTCTTCACTTGTATAAGTGCAGATGAAAATGGATAGAAACAACCAGTATCCCATGCCAACTAGTACGTACAGGGAAATGCTTTCAAAACCCTCATGAACCTTGTGGACACCACAATCTGAGAACATCCAAATACCTTATACAAGTGAGCACATTATTTGTATATAATCTATGCACACCCCCCTGCATATTGCAAGTAATATATAGGTTGTGCAAAATAATACAATATAGTTTTTATACTGTAGTGCAGGGATAATGACAAGAACACAATCTGTATATGCATATATTTACAGATAAGCAAATATTTTCCAAATGTTTGATCTACAGTTGAATCTGCAAATGTGGAAACTGTGCATACAGAACCCTTAGAGCTGGAGGGCCAAATGTATGTGTATTTCCCTAGCTAAGGCCATTTGCACACTACAGTATAGTTACTAAAAAGAATGTTCCAAAATTCTCCCTGTTGTTTTTCACATCAATCATTCTACTGGTTCACTCCTACCAGCAATCAAGCACTCTATATTACCTGACCCTATCATTTTCCACTGTTTTACTTTTCCTTTAAGACTATTATTAAAGAACTGCCTATATTCACCATCTCAAATTTCACTCCACACATTCTTTCTGGGTACAAAACACTCTTGTACATCTAGTAGGCATCTCTCCAAGTAAGCCCCTAATCTCACCAAAATTCTCTTCTTCAGCGCCTTCCATGCTGTTAAATGGCAAGCCAGCCTCCACTTAATCAGGCTAAAATTACTGAAGTCATCTCCCCACTCCCAACAGCAAATCCACCTAAAGTTACCCTCAAATTACCCTTAGAATCTGACCGTTTCTCATGACTCTGGTATGAGAGACCTATACCATCTCTTAGCTGCACTGCTCTAACAGCTTTCTAGCAGATTTCTTTCTACTCTTACCTCCTCTACTCTAACCTTTTAACTCACAGTAACTAGAGTACGTAATCCTTTTAAAAAGTATGTCAAATCAAATTGTTCTTCTACTTTAAAAGGTTACAATGGCTTTCCCTCTTGGCCTGAGTAAAGACAAAAGTCCTTAAAGTTACCAACTAGGTACTGCTCAGCCTTTGTTAACTTTCTCATCTGGTCTCCAACTATTGTAGCTCTTATTCTTGTGGCTCAAGCCTGAAGACTGGCTCCCTACTGTCCCTAGCATATACCAGACATATTCTTACTCCAAGGTCTTGGCTTTTTTTTTTTTTTCCTATTGCCTGTAACATTCTTCCCCCTAGAGAATAACATGGGTTAGTCCTTCAAGTTTTTACTGTGTCTTTGGGAGTCTTCTCTAGTTACACTATCAAAAAGTCACCCAACTGCCTTTTTATTCAACTTTTTTGCTTTATTTTTCTCCTTACCTCTATGATATGACATACTACGTATTTCATATGTACATGTAATATACAGATACACACAAATTTACCATACATATCAATGTGTTCTCTCTACATATTTTCTTCCTCTTCCAAATAAAATGTATTTTATCATCACAAGGAAAGAAATTTTAAAATTTTGTCCATTCCAGTGGTCATACCAGTGCCTAGCATATAACAGGAGCAAAAATATTTGTTAAATGAATAAGAAAACAAATTTAAATATAATTTTCCTCTAGGTTATAACAACTTCCAAAGTTCTGCATGTTACTAATATTTTATGGTGACAGTTTCCCACTAAACTGTATAGAGGAATGAAAGAATCACCCAGAGGAAACCATATAGTTTTATAATAAATAAAACTATGTTAACACTTGGGTTCACTTTACTCTTTTAAATGCTCGTCTTGTAAGGAAGGCCAGGACTAAATTTCTTGTTTTAGAATAAATTAATTGGTCTGAATCATTACAAAAAAGGTATCATCCTAAACACTGACAACTTCCTAACAACTAATAAAATTGGACACTATTCATTCTAATTTAAATGCTGAATGCCTTTCTGCAAATTATCTTGTGGTGAATTTTAGCAGGTAATACATCTTTTGTAATGAAAAACAAAACTTCTATATATTTACTAAAATGTTTCATTTAATTTTTCAAACTATTCTAAAAAGAGAGACTCGTAAAAAGATGTTCATGAAGGAATAAAAACATAGCAAAGGTGGCTAAAAAGACATTAAAAAGGTGGAAAGCAGAAACAGTGAAAAATTACAATGCATTCAAGAAAAATGAATATAGGGGCCAGGGATTGAGCTCAGTGGTTCCACAGGCTGCCTCACAAGTGCAAGGTCCTGAGTTCAATCCCCGGTACCAAAAACAAACAAAACAAAACAAAAAAAGAAAAATGAATATAGATTCTTTCTACAACTGTTAATCATGTAAGCATTATTATTGCAATTGCTACATTACTTTCAAGGATTAGGGAAAAAGTTTTTCTTTTTCATCAGGAAATCTTTAGAAGAGTGAAACTTGGTGGGAAGATTATACAAACAGATTCCTAGGAATAAAAAGATATTTTTAAGATAGTTTAGATCTGAAGACAATCTGTACAAAACAGTACTCAAAGAGTCTGTCATCTCTCAGCTGACAGCTGAGAGAAAAAAGAAAATGTGAGGCATAAACACAGAAAGCATTTTCAGTTTAACATCCAAATCATCATAATGTTGCATAAAAGCATTTAGAGACTTCTATTACCTAATAATGCTTGATATCACATGAAGTATTCTAACCTATGCTTACTGCTGATTATGAGTCTTATAAAACATAGTAAGTTCAGAAAGGTGCACAGCTTTGATGGCAATGGGTCCCTTCACTCTGGCAATTGTTAAATGCTCTTCCTAAATAAATAAATTTTAAAAATATACAATTGTGTATAAGAGAACAAAGTTTTTATTTAAAAATAAAATCCAAAACACTTATTTGGTTTAAATACAGATGAGAGACTTAAATTACATTGAAAGCATTGTTCATAGGTAGCTGGTATAGAATGAATTTCAGCATACAGGAGGAATATCTGCAACATAAATGCCACAATCATAAATGCCTGGTTAGCATTCTCCTGGAAATGAAGGTAAAAATAAAACAAAGTTGTCTTGACAGTCACTCCTTAGTCATTGAGTTTACTGTCAAAAAAAGTAAATTATTTATGTAGTTCATGGGATGTGCGGATTTGGCTTTGCCATCATTCATTCACAACAAATACGACGTGCTTAGAATGTACAAAGCTCTGAATTTAAATCCAGAGATATTTCGAATAAAGCTATTACCCTTGATCTCAAGAAGTTTAAGATATTATAAAGGGAAAAAATGATTAAGTCAGCAAGGGAAAATGTGCAGAATGCCATCAAAGTGATCTCCAAAGAAAGCTGTAAGAATTAAACTGGGAAACTACTTGAGATAACTTCAATCACTTCCAAGTACATGCTGCTGTATGAGGAAATCAGAGTGACATTTGCTCATTTTTATAAATCCTGGGAGTGGACTAGGAGGATTCAACTTCATGGCGGCAAGATGCCATGACTCATTCCACAATTACCAAAAAAGAAAAAAACCACAACTTCCCACGATCAAATACGCCTAAGCGTATTCTATTTTTCTGGAAGAGGAACCCAGGAGTCTAAAGGATGCTCTAAGCTCTGAAAGTGCCTTCCTGTACAGTGGACTAGCTCTAGGGTGGCAGCAGGGGAGAGAAGTACAGGGGTACTCGTTTGTTCTCGGAGACGGCACCTAGGAGCATTGTCGCAGCGCAGGCTGGGGATAGACAGCAGCAGCAAGCGCCTGGGAATGGGAAATGAAGCGCGAGAAGCGCGCGATTTCAGGGCACTGCCTGCGCTCTGTAGGTTCCAGCTGTCCCGCCGGCGCCGGGTGCCACACGCCGCAGCAGTCTGCCACTGCCACCCAAGGCCTATCCACAGGCTCCCGGAGGACATCCCCAGTCTTTCCAAAGTGGCAGGCGGCGGCTAAAGGCCAAACCCCTCCCATATATTCACGTACCTGGAGAAAACTATCCCCTTGCAGTGGGGAGCACAGAGGACACAAATCTTACCTTCAAGTCTCAACCACACAGTTTGTTCCTACGGCCGCCGGCCAAAATGGCGGTGCCCAGCCGCCGCCTCGCGCAAGCCACAGGGCGTAACGCGCGTGCGCGATAGAGCGCTAGGCGGCCCTGAAGGTAGGTGCTGTGTCTGACGTCATTGTGCTGCGACTCTCAGTTACATCCTTGGGAAATCCAGGCTGTGCTAAAATGAGTGGGAGTGGCGCGGATCTGCAGTTCCAGAGAGCCTGAGTCTTGGTAAGCGAGACTGGAAGCAGTTAAGTGCGCTTTTCCTCAACGTAGAAAGAGGGCCCATCGTAAGTAGACGCCTTCTCCCTAGTTTCGGTCTCTCTACACTCTCGGTCTCCTCAAAGCAGGTGGGCCAGGTGTGGAGCCTGATTTGTTCAGGTACCTGCGTTGTGTCAAGTAGGACCGGCAGAGCGTATCCTGACAGCGCTGGCGGTGGCGCTCTGTCTTTGGCCTCAGCTCTCTGTATTGTGTGGTCAGTTCTTCCAGACCAGGAGTCCAGTCTTCTCCGAACTGTCTGTTTTATCCACTTGGTGGCGTCTAGTCCCAAGTCCGCCAGTTGGATTCTGCTCCAATGTAGAAATGGTTTATTTTATTTTATTTTTAGATATTAGGCCGTTCGGCTTGTAATGATGGCTGCAGACTTAGTTTATAATTGGACCTGTTTATCCACTTATTCATTCAGTAAGTTATTTATTGAGCATTTAAGTCACAGGCCTTTCTGAAATTTACAATCCATTGTTTTTGCTTTTACTTAATGAGAAATGTTTGCATGGTAGCATGGGAACAATTTAGGATCTAATGGAAAGTGTCAGGGAGATGTAGAACTTTTGGAATTGTTTAGCGTTTGTGATAATGTTCTGTAAAAGTAACTGCTTCACCAAAACAATTTTACATACCCTTCATTTCCAAGAAGTGTATTTTCACATTTGCATAGATTTACTAAGATTAACCAAAGTTATGGAACAAGCCATAGATGAACAATCCATTTGCTATTGGTTTCTTTTTTCTTTTACAGAAAGATACTCAGATCTCAGCATAATGTGCATATTCTTTCTTTTTATATAGAATATTTAAAAAATGACGACGCCAAACAAGACACCTCCTGGTGCTGATCCTAAGCAGTTGGAAAGAACTGGAACAGTAAGGGAAATTGGGTCACAAGCTGTTTGGTCACTCTCATCTTGCAAACCAGGTAAAGCAAAAGAAAGCCAAAAAACTGTTGATAATAGTACTTCCTTACAGTATCCTTATACACTGGGCCAACTTTAATATTCTTGTTGTTCAGATGCTTCATCTTAGTTCTTTTTTTGTTTTGTTTTGTTTTGTTTTGTTTTTGGTACCGGGGATTGAACTCCGGTCCTTGTGCTTGCAAAGCAGGCCACCGAACCACTGAGCTAAATCCTCGGCCCACATCTTAGTTCTGATAAACTGGATTTTCATTTATTATATATCTCTGTCTAATTGCTGTATTTAAATCTAGTTAAAATTAACTTCACATTATGAGGTCTCCTCTTTATCTCCCCATGTCTCTGCCATAATTCAGTTGTTAATTAGGATTTTTTTGATGGCTATTTTCCTAAATAGGAAAAGAGAGTATTACATTTTTTGAGTGATTTCACAGTAGTACCTTGGTTCACAAACTTAATTTTTTCCATGATTCTGATTGCAAACCAACTTAGACAAGAACTAAATCAAATTTCCCCATAAGATCAACGTTGAACGTAACCATTGAATTTGATTCGGTTCATGTCCAATTCAGTTTGAGACTAGAATCATGGAAAGAAAAAAGTTTGTGAGCTGAGGTATCACCGTACATCCCCAAACAATTTTTTTTTTTTTAACTTTGGTTTGGTTAGAATTCTTTATGTTTTTTTTTGTTTTTTTTTTTCTTCTGGTACCAGGCATCAAACTCAGGACCTTGGACTTGCCAGGCAGGCACTGTGTCACTGAGAGACTTTCCTGGCCCTGGATAGAATCCTTTAAAAAACATATGAATGCTATTTCTTTATCCTCTTTTTCCATACTGAGGGTTAGAAGACCTATACCTCTCTCTCTTTTTTTCTAAGTAACTTGATTTTTTTGGGAAGCATCTTAAGATTTTTCTCTTTATTCTTGGAGTTCAAGTTTTTTGGTAGTATGTTCCAGGGAAAGGTATGTGTTCATCTTTTTTGATCTACCTAACTTATAATTTGATCTGTATTTTCAGTCTGCAGGCTCAAGTTCAGCTGAAATTTTTTAGCTTGCAGAATTTGAATTGCATATTAGTTTTGTTGTCAACTTTCTCAGAAACTTTTATTAGTTATGCATTAAGACTTCTGTAGCCACCTTGTTATCTGTGCCTCTTCTGTTTCCCTTCAAGACTCACATTTCTTTATGAGTAGTTTATTGAGGTATAAGTAGCATAAAACTCACCCTTTTTAGATGTACATTTCTGTGAGTTTTAGCAAAAAAACAACAACAATATCATATAAATATCATTACAATCAAATATAGAACATTTCCATCTTCCCCAAAAGTTTCTGTCCCATTCTGATCCCCTGACAACTTCTGATCTATTTTGAGTCCATTTTGTTTTGCCTTTTCCAGAATTTCATTATAAATATAATCATACAGACTTGTCCGGCTTCTTTCACTTAGTGTAACTTCATTTGTGAATTTTGCTTCTGTATGTATCAGTAGTTTGTTTCTTTTTCATTACTGCTTAATGTTGCACTGCATGAATGTCACCACAGTTTATTTATTAATCAGTTAACAGACACTTAGCTTTGCAGTAGCCAGCTTCCAAAGTGGTCACCAGTGATGCCTTCCAAAATTCATGCCCTTTTGTAGACCTCTCCCACACTGTGACCAACAGAGTATGGCAAAAGTAACAGTATGCAATTTCTGAGACTAGGTCCTAAAAGACGTCATAGCTCTGCTTGCTCTTGATTGGGTCACTCACTCAGGGTAATCATCTGCTATTTTTTGAGGAAACAAATGGTCCAATGGAAAGATTTGGTGAGGAACTATGGCCTTCTATCAATAACCAATGAGCTGAGTCCTCTTGTTAATAAGAATAAGCCATCTTAGAATATATACTGTCTCCAATCGAGTCTTCAGGTAACTGTTTCTGTAAGGAGTCAGCTTGATGTGACTGTAACCAATATTGCATTGTAACTGCTATAATTGTTCTGAATAACCCCTGTATAGTTTCCCAGCCAACTATAGATAAATAAAACTATTAAAGTAATATGTGGGACTTCAAGATCCAGATCTTGATGCAATCAGTGCCAAGAATGTGCCTGATATCTTTGATATTAGATTGAGTTAAACCAGGTATGTTTCAGCTTGAATGAAGTCACTTTTGTCCTGATTATTATATAAGCCCCTTCCTTCTACCTTAGATTGTGAGGTCCACCTGTTTTTGTTTGTTTTTGGTACTGGGGATTGAACTTGGGACCTTCCACTTGTGAGGCAGGCAGTGGAACTGAGCTAAATCCTGGGCCCTGGTCTGCCTGTTTTGTTACTATCCTAAACATGATGCTTCTGTACATAAAAGCCCCAAACAAATTGCATTGTGTGCATTCCTGGATCTGTGTGCTTCTTTGGACTCTGTGTCTGTTTCTCATACACATACTATTAAGTTCAACTTTATCTTTATTAATTTTTCTGCCTGATGGATCTCTAAATAACTGATAGGTGTTGACATCCCTAGTTAGGACTTGTCTGTTTTGTACAGTTCTACAAGTTTTTTCTCATGTACCTGGATATTCTGTTATTAGGTATACTCAAGATTATTATATTTCTTGGAGAATTGATACCATTATATAATCTCCTTTTCATTCTTTTCTTTTTTGATACCAGGGGTTGAACTCAGGACCTTATGCTTGTGAAGCAGGTGGCAGAACCACTGAGCTAAATCCCTGATGACTTTCTTTGCTTAAAAATTCTGCTTTATCTGAAGTTAAAATAGCTACTTCAGCTTTTTTTTTGTTTTGTTTTTTAACTAAAGATAGGTCTTTCTCTCTTTACATTTGAACTATTTCTGTCTATATGTAAAATAGTTTCCTGTAGAAAACATATAGTTGTGCCTTATTTTTTAAATCCACTGTCTTTCTTTCAATTTCTGCTGAAATTTTTCTTTTAATATTTTAAAAGGTAGGTCTACTGGTGATAGATTGCCCCAAGTATTGTTTGTATGGGAAGTTCTTTATTTTTCTTCCATTTTGTGGAAAAAGTTTTAAAGGACCCTTTCCTCTCTCATTCTCTTTCTCCTTTCCTCTGTTCCTTCCTTCCTCTCTCCTTCCCTCCTTCTGTCTTTCCCTTCTTTCATCCATCATCCATCTTTCCTCCCTGATTAAATATGGGGCCTTCTCAGTAAGTTATATCCCCAGTACTTTTGTGTTTTTAATTTTGAGACAGGATCTCAATAAGTTGCCCATGCTGGGCTCAAACTTGGAGTCCTCCTGCCTCAACCTCCCAGAGAACTGAGTTTACAAATGTGCCCTACAATGCATTGTTTTTTTTAAATTCTAACATTTCAAGTGTTTCACTTCTCTTACTGCTTTCTGAAGAGAAGTCTGATGTAATTTTTATCCTTTTTGGCAAAATTTTCTCTCTCTCTTTTTTTTTTTGAGACGGGTTTTGCTATATATTTCTGTTCAGGCTGTCCTTGAACTCACTATGTAGCTCAAGCTGGGTTTGAAGTTGTTCTGATCCTCCTGCCTCAGCCTCCCAAGTGCTGGGATTATAGGCTTATGCCACTATGTCTGGCTTCTCTTTGTTTTGACTTTTGACAGTTTGATATGATAGAGCTAAGTGTAGATATTTTGGTATTTGTCTTGTTTGATGTTCTCTGAGCTTCTTAGATCGATGGTGTCTTATCATTAATTTTAGAAATTTCAAGCCATTCTTCAAATGTTTTCAGTTCCTTTCTTTCATTCTTTTCATATATATATTCTTTTCATATATGTATGTATGTATTTATTTATTTATCTTGTGGTACGAGGATTAAATCTAGGGCCTTTGCCCTAAGCTACATTTCCCACCCTTTTTTATTTTTATTTTGAGATGGAGTCTCATTAAGTTTCTATGTTGCCCAGGCTGGGCTGACTTGAGATATTCATGCCTGAGCCCCCAGAGTGCCTTTTTCTTCTGATATTTAATTATTTGTTCTTGAAAACTTTTTATAATTGTTGTGCCTGAGGTGTTAGAGACTAAAATTCTTCTGATGTGATGTTTTGGTTTTTCCATTCTTTGACATATAGCCTATGGGTTTCTTTTTAGGTTAAGTGTGTTTCTTGTATACACTATATTGTTGGATCTTGTTTCTTTGTTTTTGTTTTTTTTTAAGAGTAGGAAAAATTTATTGAGGGAAAGACAGCTTCTGTCTAAGAGACAGAAGGGGGACTGGGTTGCCTGCTCACCCCACTTTTTGAAGATGTTTTATACAGCAAATCCATGTGGTAAGGTGGATCTTGTTTCTTGATTCATTTGCTAATCTGTGTCTTTTGATTTTGAGTAGAGCACATGGAACTTTCTTCCCAAATAGATGACATATTAGCAAGAGAAAAATAAGAACAACTCAGTTCTTAGCCAGTGGAAAGAAAATACCTTCCAACCCAGATTGATATATCTTGAAAAATTGATGGAGATATATGATATTTCTATGATAACCACAAAATCCCCTCAGAACTCATTAAATAAATAAAATTGGGTCAAAAGAAGAAAGAAAAAAAATTCTGTGTGTTTCCAAATGTGTGGTTTACTTCCAGGACCTATAGTCTTTGGAATCCAGAAAGTCACAGTCTTCTCTGCCCCACTTTATAGCCTGTGAGTTTATGAGGTGACCCCTCTGCTGAAGATGTTTCCCTATCTATAAAATCTAGTCTGTAGCAACTGTAAAAGCTGAGATTCATCCCCACTCACATTGGTATATGGGGAGCAATCAGACCACTGGTTTCTTCTGAATGTAGGCAGTTGGGTGGGTGCTTAAGCAGACTGATGGATTCAGTGCCATCACCTTCAGATCCAATCACCTCTAAAGACAGATCTTACCTCCCACCACAGAATGTAGGTCTGTGATCTTCCTGGCATGAACTTGAGCTTCTCAGGGGATCTGGGGGGATTTGTCTACCCTCACCTTATCCCATTCTGTCTCCCTGGCTGTATGTCCCTCAGTCACTGTGGTAGGGTAACACTTCAGTCCTGGAG